GATAAAGGGATTGTAATTAAGGTGAGTTTGGTGGAAAAAAGTCAATTTGAATAAGTCTGTCTTGTCCCCTCCTGATTTTATTATTCAACTACTAACTTCTACCCCTAAGTTCAACAGTAAACTACTTACTTGTGAGTAAGTAGACACTCTCATAAAGATCGCAATTTTCTTTTGAAAGAAAATATGAACAATGAAAACTGCTGAAAAAAGGAAAAAGAAGAATACGATTAATACCTGCAATTGAATTGACTATGTAGAAGGCACTTCCACATATTTTTTTGATCTCACAACCTACCTTTGAGGTAGGTAGGTTTCAATTATTCATTTAATGAGGTTTTTATTTCCCAGAAATGCCAAGGATGAAAAAAAAAAAAGTCTGTTCTTGGACCTGGTTTCCATGTATTCAGAGAATAATAAAAGTCAAACATTGTTCCACTGACTGGTTTTAGTTCAGAAGTAGCCTTAGACATTACTCAGAATCCATTCTTTAGAGAGGAGAGAAGAAATTTCTGAAATCCACTGTGGATGCTTTTGGAATTCTTTCTGGCTACGCAGCATTTTTGGTTGAGATAAGCATTGCTTTGTTTTGTTCAAGTCCTTAGAGGAGCATGTGGGCGCTGACTGTCCAGATGGAGGTGTTCTGGAAACAGAGGCAGGGCTCTCGCCTTTGGAAATAGACTTTGTAGAACTCAGCGCTGGACTCTGGGGTCTCCTGCCTGGGTGTGATCTGAGTAGAATTGTTTCTCATCGCGGATACAGAGCGTCTCCTTTTACCATGAGGTTGACTGTTCTGGTGCATGTCTGACAAGTCAAAACAAAATAGTCTGAGAGCTGCGTACCTCTTCATAACTTTTGCTTCTTGAAAATTGAGTGCATACCTTTTTGCCTCTTAATTCACAAGTGTCTGTATTTGGGTGTCAGCTTGGGCTTGGGCTTCAGGCACATTCCAGATTTATCCAGCACCTGCAGCGGGAAGCAGTATGGACATGCTTCTTCAAAAATGCTCTTCTCAGGGTTGGAGTTAACTGTGGGCCCAGAAAGAGCAGCAGGCCTGACCCAGGCAAAGGGTTTCAGCGACGCTGCCTGCGTGCACAGGACTGAAGCCTGCTGGGAGCCCTGTCCTGGATTTTACTGTGAAGAGATGCCAGGCAAACCCAAACTTAGTAACACTGCACACACAAAATAAATGCCTGTACTCTTCTGAATTGTCAAAAGCAAGAAACTAAAAGGGGTGGAGGACTGTTCCATATTGAAGGATACTCAAGGGACCTAATGTCTGAGTGCCATGTTCGCTCCTGAACTGGGGAAAATGGACTATAGAGGACATTGTTAAGACAATTGATAAAATTGGAATATGGGCTGTATCTATGTGTGTATATATGTTTGCCTGTAATTATATGAGCCTGGAGAAGGGCATATACTTGGGAAGGAGAGGGGGTGAAAGATTAAGAGACAAAATTATATATATAGCATACAGCGTGAAAGCATGCATGATACCATCACATTTTTGTTAAATGATAATAGATGTGTATGTGTGCATACATGAACTATATAAGGATGGTCAACAAAATGTTAACGATTAAGATGATGGGAATTTGAACTTTTCCATTTTAAATATTTATGTGTAATATAATTTTTCTTTCTAATATTTTTTCAATGCATATGTATTATTTTTATAAAAACACTAAAGTATTTTTTTAGTGCTAAAATGCAAGAAAAAGTCACTTGAGGAAATTACAAGAACATTTTTAATTTTTTTCTGTCTCATCCAATTTTTCTTGTAGTGCTGCGTTTATTACTTTAAACACCTTATGTGTTTTGCTACAAGATGTTCCCAGTTGTTCTGAGACATGTGAAAATGGGAGCAAGCCTCCGGGTTGGCGGGAATTCAGGTGTCTGGCTTTCTGAGGAACTTTGTTGGTCCGGGAGTTTCAGCAGTCACTTCCTGCCATCATAGGCTTGGAGGAAGTCCCTTTCTGGTCATTTCAAAGTTCTCCTTCCAGGACCATGTCCCTTTGACGTCTACATACTTTGAGCACACAGGGCGCAGACTCCTGCAGGCCCCACATACTGTTCTCGGACCTGAGTATCTCCTCCTTGCACCACAGATAAGCCCACACTTCCTCCCGGCTGCCTGGAGAGGTGCTGAGTATTACCCAGGTGGGTTTGTGGAATGCTTTGAGCTGCTCAGATGAAAGGCACAAAGCTCTAATTTCGTGGATAGCATAACCCCTGCTGTCAGTGGCCCCCGCGTCAGATGACAACAGGGAAAGACCCACTGGAATCAAAGATCCCGCAGGGCCATCTTGGTGCTCTGCGTGCTACCCTGGTAGCTCTAGGAGGGTGGTCTTGTAAAGAGGATAAAGAGTTAATGCTCCCGGAAGGAACTCTAACTAATCGCAGGCAGGTTGGTGGATCAAGTCCAGCTTCCTCGCTCCGCAGGTGGGGTGACCAGGAGGCAGGCTCTGTGCCACTTCCCAGGTCCTGGAGGGGCTGAGCTGCGGCTGCCCACAGTGTAACTTGCTCACCCCGAGATTCATAGGCTCCTTCTCCTCCCTATCTCGCTTCCGGAATATCTTAGCAGTGTTTTCTGGAATCCCCTCCTAAGCCCAGTCTACTCCAGCTAGACATCATGCGTTTTCCCCCCGTTCCCATTTCCCTGAGATCTAAGGCCTCTAGCTTGGCCCATCCGAATTGTCACAGTCCCAGCGTCCCACCTGGTTACAGTCTAGGCCTCAGAGGTTTCTCCTTCCTCTGAAAGGAACATACTCTACTCATGTGGCAGGGAGTCAGACACAGTACACCTCTCCTCTGTGGAGTGGGCTGGAGAGAAAAAGTGGGAACCGGACATAGACACTGGGCCCCGAGTCCTGGCTTGGGTACTTCCTAGCTGGAACCTTGAGCAAATCACCTAACTTCTCTGACCTTCAGTTTCCTCCTTGCCAACAAGGAGGTTGTTCTCTGGATTTAATGAACTAAATACAGGATGTCTCCCCCCACCCCTTTCCCGCCCCCAATGTATGCACACTTTGTCTGTAGGTTCTATTACATTTTGAAAATGAAATGTATCTTAATGAACACTGCCTTTATAATTATTCAAAGCGTGCATACATTTTTGGGGACACCCTGTATGTAAAGAGCCAAGATAGGATACTGGCTAATACAAGAAGATACTCCAGAAAATAGTTATTTGTAGTCCATTATTCTCTTTCCTGCTTTACTTTCTCATGCATCTCCCTCCATCCTGTCTCCTGAACTAGACTGTAGCCTCTCTGCCATATTTAACTTCTTTTCACATTGCCTTGCCCATGGCAGGCACTACAAATTCTTCCTGAGTTTCCTAAAGTTTTACATCAATTCAAATTCATTCACAGATTGTTTCTTAGTGTGAGGAATTCTCAAAGAATTTTTAGCAGGTCACTTCTGCTTGGGGCCTCAACTTCCTCAGATGCAGAACAAGTGTTTGGGTCTGTATTTCTAGATGCACTGAGGTCCTCCTAGCATTAAAGTTTGGAATCTATATATTCATTGAGGGCACATACTGTATGTTGTTATTCTTTCTGACCACCCGACAGTTAATACAATGATGGTCCTGAATTAAGTGACTACCCAGTGCATGTAGAACCAATTCCAGACACCTCCCAGTCGTACCTCTTACCACTGATCCTCTCTCCTTGTAAACCTGGGCCTTCCCAGGCTGGGTCTGCCTTAAGGCCTTTGCACTTGCTGTTTCTTATCATTTGGTTCTCTGCCCAAGGTCTCCTCCATGGAGGTCTCTTGCTCCACCTGTCTATCCCACAACTCTTTTTTCATTTCTGTCACTGCTCTCTGAAATTGTCTTATCATTTATTTGACTTCATTGTTTTGTCTCCCTACCTCTTCCTCTAGCCCCCCAACATCTTGGATCCTTTCATACCCCTGCTGCTAAAATAGTACTTAGCACCAACTAGGCCCCTAAATAAATGTGGAATGAATGAATGAATGAGTGAGCCCTCTCATGCCTTATAGAGTAGTTTTTAGGTGGCAAGCTCAAATCTGTGGCTATCATGCTAGGTTCTAGTGGACCTCTTTAGGTATGTGTCCTACATGACTATTGCCATAGCTCTGAGTAAACATGGAGTGGGAAGAAACAGGAACTCCTAGAAAGAGAACCGCAAACAATTATATCAGTTTATCTAGAAACTTACTTGCAATGGAAAATTCAGATATAATTAAAGAGAATAATTCTTTTTATTAAGGAAAATTTCAAACCTAAACATAAGTAGATGTGGTAGATAAGAAGAGCATATGGACTTGCTTGTACACTGTGGTGGACACCCCTTAGAGTGGCCCCCCACCCTAATGTCCATTCCCTTGTATCTATAATCCCCTCCCCTGAGTGTGTGGAATCCTGTGATTGGCTTTCTCGACAACAGAATATGGCACATTTGATGTCACCTCTGTGTGATTACTTGTTATGTAAGATTGCATCTTGCTAGCAGACTCACGCTGGGGCCTCTCCTTGCTGGCTTGTTGAAGTCAAGTGGCCATGCTGGGGAAGCCCACAGTGACAATGAACTCCGGGTGCTCTCTAGGAGCTGATGGCCAACTCCAGCCGACAGCCAGCAAAAGGCCAGGGTCTTCAGTCCTACAGGTGCAAGGAGGTGAATGCTGCCAGTGACCCGAGTGTGGAAACTGATCCTTTTCCAGTTGAGCTCCAGACAAGAATGCAGCCAGGCCAACACCTTCCTGGCAGGTGTGAGACCCTGAGCAGAGAACCCCAGGTGCCTGGACACCTGACCCACGGGAACTGAGGTAATAAATCTGTTGCTTTAGGCTGCTAAGTTTGTGATAATTTGCTGCAATAGATAACTAACATTTTTCAACAGTTTGCCAATATTGTTTCATCTATACTGTCATGTTTTGGGAGGAGTGGGTGGGCTGGAGTATTTTAAGGCACGTGCAAATACTTTAGTATGTATCTCTAACTTTTAAAAAACATAACCACAATGCCAGAAAAATTAGGTCTTAATTGACAACAAGGATGAGAATCTTTATTTTAAAGCCATCGTGTCATGGATCTTGATTGGGCACCCTGAGAAAAGTGCTTGTAATAATTCGAATAAGAATAGCATCCCATTGATCCCATGAGCTAAAGGGCAGGACAGCATATGAGAGCTTTCACTTGAAATGTCAGGCTTGCCAGTTGTTGTTTTTTTTTTTTTTTAACAGTGTAGCCAAAAAGCACTTAATTGTCACCATAATGTGCTTATCCATCATGCAATATCTAACACCACTGGAACTCAATTCAGATTGTATAAGATCCTACTCATTCCCCTAACCTGCTTTGGGATGGCCGCTTGTAAATCCCATTTTTTAAAATTCTTAACTCCTTATAACTTCGTCTTTTTCTAATCGCCGCCCCCACCACGTTTTCCTTACTGATCTTTTTCTCTTTTGATTAAACGAATCTCTTCTCCCTTTGACACAGCTCACCGAGGAGGCAGCGCTTTGCAAGGGAAATTCTCAGGGTTTGGGGCTCTATCCCATCTCCACCACAGGAGCGCTTTGTGATCGTTGGCAAGCAGTTGAGCATCTCCAAGCTGCAGAGAGCAGTGCCTCGCAGGGTGAGGTACAGCCTGCACATATAACGGGCGTAACGTGTACAGTGCTAGCACGGAGGGGGCACGGCCGTCCCCGCCGTTCTCTTTGTTAGCTCCCACCTCCGACCACCCAGCACCAGAAATGTCCAGCACCATTGCCTCTCCCGCCCTCGTCGCGGGGGATGCTGGGATTTGTAGTCCTTTAGTTCCCAAGTCGTTTCCTCTCGGAGCCGGACGGCGAGAGGAAGAACTACACCTCCCAGTGGGCCGTAAAAGGAAAGTGGGGCTCGGAAAACCGAGCGTTTGCGCCGGCTGCCTCCGCTCGCTGCTTCCCACGGGCAGTGCCAACCCGTGGAGGGCTCAGACCCCGCTGCAGGGCCGGGGAGGGCGCGAGCG